TAAGGTCAAGAATACCCAAGTAGAAGCAAATACTTACAGCAATCAGTCAAGAGCAAATAAACATGCGATGGAGATATCATATAGGATAACACAGATCTTTTCAAACATGTTCACACAGAACAATAGATTAACACCAAATCAATCAACAGGCCAACACATACGCAACAAATGCATAAATGACCTCACAAAGATCTAACCACACTTATCCTATCCCATTCCGTGTTACTCACACCTCGAGAACACATATCTCACCTCATCGCCCACAAAGCTCACTAGACTAATTATTCAACTCATATCTAACTGGTAAGCCTCTAAAGATCCTAAGTTATTGGAATAATCTTTTATCACCACATCACTTCTTCCAACAACGTGGATAATGGGTCTGCGGAACTGCGGCTGGGCCACTGAAGCTGCATCTGAGCTGCCGGATGACCTGTGAGTCAGAGGCGGAGGTAGAGCGACAGAGGCGGAGGCGGAGGTCGCTGGATGAGGAGAGGGCTGTGGCTGTAAGTGAGTGAATGTGTTTTTTATTTCTTGGATTGGGCTAGTGTAATTGGGCCAGTCGATTGGGCTGCTTGGTGGTAAGTGTTAGTTTTAAAAATAAAAAATAAAAAACTCGAAAAAAAAACGCCCCTGAGTCCAGATATGGTTATTTTTACTTCCTTGATTAAAGGTCTGTTTATGGAAGATAAGGTGGATGATGCAGTTATGTTGTTCGATAAAATTATTGGAATGGGATTTCGACCATGTATCTGGAAAAGCAGAGGTGGCTCTTCGTTTGCATAAAGAGGCTGGGAAATGGAATGGAAGGCCTGATTTAAGATTTAAGCCTAATTTAATATGTTATGCCACACTTATTCATGGCCTTTGTAAAGAGGGATTGTTGGACAAGGGTAAACAATTATTTTTGGAGATGAAGGATAGATGAATTATGCCAGACTTGGTTACATATAGTGGTTTAATTCATGGTTTGTGTGAGGGCGGTGAGTGGGAGGAGGCAAAGCATTTCTTCATCGAAGTGCTGGATCAAGGCATTCGTCCTAATGTGATAATGTTTAATATCTTGATACACCCGCTTTGTGAGGAGGGGAAGACCAATGAAGCAAGTGGGTTGTTTAACTTGATGATTCAGAGAGGTCCAGAGCCCAATTCTTATATATATAACGTATTGATGATTGGGTTCTGCCTACAGAATAAGATTGTTGATGCGAGGGAGTTGTTTGTTTTGTTAGAGCATCTCATGCTTCCATGAATTGAAATGTGATCTTGTTTGGTCCCATGAAATGATCATTCCCAATTGCATATTTGTTCTAGGTTTTGGAGTTGGCCACTCAGGACAACAAGAAGAACAGAATTATCCCAAGGCATGTGTTATTGGCTGTGAGGAATGATGAAGAGCTTTGTAAAATTGCTGCAATGAGTGACCATTGCTCATGGTGGATTGCTTTTGAACATTAACCCAGTATTGTTGCCAAAGAAGACTGGTGCAGACAAAGAACCAAAATCACCCTTAAAGGCTACCAATTCCCTTAAGAAGGTTGCTACTTAGTTCAATAAGAATTTACTTGATAAAACTTTTATCATGTATTTAGCTTAGCCTTAGAATGAGTTTTTAGAAAAATTGGGTTGGAGAGAGTTAAGATTGTAATATATTGTCATTTTTCTTTGAATCCACGAATGAAAAGTAAAACCCCTTGTTTTAGTTCTTGAATTTTTCCTTGTTTCTTTTGGTTTATTTGAGTGTTAAATTCATGAATGAACACTTCATTTTATACTCGGTGTTATCATGGTTATTTAATTTGATTTTGTTTTATCATGATTACTTAATTTTATATTTAG